TCAACATAAATTTGAACAAGCATTAGATGACACCCAACTTTCTTGCGAAATAATGTGGGGTCAACTGATCCTTGTTTAAATTTAGATTGTTTCAAGAAATTTGTAAGTGTTGCGTACCAGGCCCTTGATGCTTGTTTTAACTCATATACAGCTTTATCTAAAATATAAACATGATCAGGATGCTCATTGTTTACAAATCCTAGTGGTTGTTCAACATACATTGTTTCTTCAAGTTTTCCATTTAATGATTCACATTTAACATCCATTTGATAAACATCAAAGTCTTTGTGAGCTGCATAGGCTAAAAATATTCGAACTGCTACAAGTCTTGCAACAGGTGCAAATGTTTCTTCATAATCAATGCCGTCTTGTTGCGAATAACCTTTAACCACTAGTCTTGCTTCATTTCGAATAATATTGCCATCTTTGTTGGTTTTGTTTTTAAAAATCCATTTTAATCCAACAATTGAAACATCAGAAGGTTTAGAAACTAATCGCCAAACCTTGTTTCGTTCAAATTCAGCCAATTCAGATTACATAGCAACAACCCAATCAAAGTGTTCCATAGCATTCTTTACCGTTTTTGGCTCTATTTTCGAAATAAAGACATTAAACATACAAAGTTCTTGGTTAGTATTCAGTACCTCATTTTTCGCACGAATTTGAGCTCTAGTCAACACACTTTCTTGTAGATTACCAATTCCCTGTTCTTGTGGATGATTTCTTGTCCATTTCGTAAGTGGTGGATAATTTGGATCATATAATGGTGCATCTTCATGCATATCTTCATTTTCAGATCCTGCAACAGAAAAGTTATCATTAAATTCATGAAAGTCTGCATTTGTATCAAGATTATTTGTCTCTGTTTCATCATGCTCTTCCTCAACATGATCTGCATTTGGATACTCCTCCTTAAAATTATGTTCATGTTGATTTTGTGAATGCTCCCCCTCAACTTGATATTCCTATTGATTTTGTGAATGCTCCCCCTCAACTTGATGTTCTTGTTGATTTTGTGAATGCTCCCCCTCAACTTGATGTTCTATAATGTCTTTCTCCCCCTCAAAAGTTGGTATACAATCTTCATGGATACTTGTGTGTTCCTCCTCCATATGAACATTTGGTGTACTTTCATAAGTTATCGACATTGTTGTTATTGTTGATTCATCAGTATGTTTTGAGGATTCTGATGTTTGATTATCAGGAGCATTATTTTCTGCATCAATTGCCCTGTCAGGAATTCCGAAAATTAAGTCATAATCAAAATCATTAATTTCATAATTATCAATTTGAGTATTTGAATCCACAAGTATTGGTTTCTTATCGAATTTATTATCAATTTGTTTAAGATAGTAATCGTCAAATGTTAAATTGAAAGTTTCTTCAATTTTTCTTGTTCGTTTATTAAGCACTCTGTATGCAACTGAATTCTGTGAATATCCTAAGAAGATGCCTTCATCAGCTTTTGCTTGAAACTTTGACAAATTATCTTTGAGATTCATAATAAAGCACCTGCAACCAAAAACATGAAAGAATTTTACATTAGGTTTCCGATTATTGATTATTTCATATGGAGTAACATTGAATCTTCTGTGAACGTATGATCGATTATGAGTAAAACATGTTGTGGACACAGCTTCTGCCCAAAGATATTGAGGTAGATTCGCATATGTTAGCATGGTTCTGGCAGCTTCGCATAGAGATCGATTTCTTCTTTCAACTACACCATTTTGGTGTGGAGTATATGGTGATGAGAAATTATGTGAAATACCTTTATTTGTGACAAAATTGTCAAGAGTTTGATTTTTAAACTCCGAACCATTATCACTTTTAATTTTTCGTACATTCTTCTTCAGACTAATTTCAATCTTTTTGATAAAATCAATCATCGTCTGAGCAACTTCAGATTTCAACCTGAGAAAAAACACCCATGTGAATCTAGAGAAATCATCTACAATAACTAAAATATACCGATTTTTATTTATTGTTGCAACAGTTGATGGTCCACATAGATCAATGTGAAGAAGTTCCAATGGATCTACTATCTTTGAATCTATGACAATCGGATGACCTTTTCGATGTTGTTTTCCTTGTTTGCAAGCTGCACACAAAGAATCATTGTCAAATTTTAGTACTGGTAACCCTCGAACTAAATCTTCAGTTACAAGTTTATTTATGTTTCGAAAGTTCAAATGTGACAGTCTTCTATGCCAAAGCCAACTGAGATCATTAGATGCTTTTAATAGTAAACACACAGTTGGTTTTCCCACAATTGGTTTGATGTCCAGTGTAAACATATCACCATATCTTTTGGATTTGAGAAGTATTTCATTTGTCTTTGCATTTGAGATGATACTTCCTTCTTCATTAAACACAACTTGATTTCCAGTACCCACAACAAGTTGTGATACACTTATCAAATTATGTTGAAGTCCTTCAACATAAGCAACTCTATTTACTGTGAAGTTTCCATTTGTGACTTTCCCATATCCTTTCACTTGACACTTGTGATTATTTCCAAATTTGACAACTCTAGCATTTTGCAAGCTTCGGTAATCTCGCAAATTTTCCTTTCTTCCAGTCATATGACGAGAGCAACCACTATCAATATACCATTTTGTATCATATTGCTCGTCACATATCACCTGCATTTATTGAAAAAATTTAGGAACCCAAGACTTATTGGGTCCATCATTAGTAGAATTAAACAACTTTTTGGAACTTAAAAATCATGTTTTCACTTTGTTTGTAAAAGAATCCATTATATCAACATCATTAGTTCTAGATATTGAAATATAGTCATTCAATAATTTTGGATTCTCATTGATTGTAATCTTATCCTTCACAACATTCGCATTTTGATAACTGGTTTCCATTTTTGAACCGGAACTTGCGAATTATGGGATGATGTACTAGCAGTCGAAGAATTATTTGTGAACTTATCAAATGCACTTTTGATTTACTAGAATATAGGCCTTTAATGACACGTAAATCATGACACTCAGTGGTTTACGATATGCAAAAGCATGTGTTCTAAAAATAATGTCATCTCTTCTAAAATTTAAAGGATTTAGAACACGCATTTTTGCGTGCCCTTAAAATTAGTGTACAAACAAAAAAAATTAAAAACACGGAAGACACTCAGCATAATAGGCGTAGCATCTAAGCATGTCGTTTTATAAAATTTTCATCAAACACGTGTTCTCCAATCTTTAACAGATGAGGGGGAAATCAAATCCCAAAAAATTAAAATCCCCGCCTTGTTTCTCATCTCCTACCAGCGGAAAGCCCCATTTCTTTTCCTTGACCTAATTTATCAAGCTCTGCAAATTCTATGGCCACTTTAAAATCTATAGTTGAATCGGATCCAACCATACCTTTGCCCAAAATTCTTTAGATATGGTGTGCCTTCATCTTTTATCATCACATATGGCCCATCTTCACATAATCAACAAAGATACTAGGGCTTTGAACCAGACCTCACAAAAGCCTTGGTGTTCACAGCAGCTTCTCACGCTTACTATGTGTCTCTGTTTCTTCCTCTCACACCGGCGATTTAGGGCCATCCCTATTTCATATCTTCTGGTTGCTAGAGCCTGGAAGTTATTAAAGAAACACAAAATCATCATATTCTTATCCTCTTCATGTTCTCTTCCGCCGACCACCCTAAGCCGGTTCCGTTGGAAACCCTAAGTCGTCGCCGTCTTAATTAGTTCCTCCATCGCCCACCAGGCGTGTTCTTCTCCAACATCAAGCAGCACCAACCACGCATTCTGTTACTCCATATACGAATTCTTTTTCCTCCAACCCTCTTGCCGACCACCCCTTCTCCTCCCCCTTGTCGGTACTCTTCTAGCCCTTTATTTTATTTTTTTATCTTTTTGAAAGCAGATGTATGTTTGGTGAAAGAAACATTACCTTTATGCAGAAATTAGTTGTTGAATGTTTATATATAGATATGTGTATATCGTTTGCTCCCTTTCATGTTATTTTCTACATTTGGCACAGATGTTGATAAGTTTTCTCAGGTCCAAGTACATGAAAATATTTTAAGCTAATTCTTTTGGCTTAATTCTATGCAAAACATCGTGCAAAACACCCCAGTTGGAAGAACAAGAGTTTCAGAATCTAAAGAGGTTATGGAAAGTATCAGTAACCTCTCAAGATCTTCGGATGATTGGCAATATATGGGGATCAACTGTCTTCTGTTACTTCTTCATGTCAGGTAAGACCTACGTATCTCACATTCTCTGACTTTTGTGTTATTACATGTGTGTAATTGGTCATTTGGAAATATAGTTCGTCTTTTCTAACAAAAATATCAAATGAATTCGCCAAAAGGAAGAGATTTTAAATTTTGATGGTTAAATGAACCAACATTGAACATAAACACTGAAATCATTTCTGAAACTTCTAAAGCATAGTAATCAAAACTAAATAACCAATTATAAGAATCAATTCGAAATAAACTAAATAAAACTTGAGAAAACGCCATACACTATTACATACCTGACTACCTATGTTTGACATCGGAAGTCAAGGGTATATATGATTTTTATTTAGAATAAAATGTCTAAAACAGAACAATATATCATGCAGGCAATTTTGTATTCGAACTTTTTGCAGGGTTATATACCATTTTAGAAGACCCTGTTATCAGAAAAGATGGAGATACTAAAATAAAAATATACACACAGTTTAACCATAATGGTGGGCCACTTTGTATACGTTTCGACAACTTAGTCCCCACAAAGCTTTTCATCCAAAAATGGTAAAAAGCAAAATCTCACAATGCTATGCTCTAAGTGTAACGTGTAAGCTTTTTGACAGCAACAAAGCAACAGGGACAGAAAACTGAGGAGAGGAAAGGAAGAACTAGTAAAATACAGGCACAAGCATGTATAATTGGCTACATATAATCTATCAAATGTATGTTTTTTTGTGTTTTTATCATTTTTATTTTGTTTTTCGTGTTTCCATGAAGTTCTTGAATACCATGTATGTACAAATTCAATCTACCTTCTGAATCACCAGGTTTTCTATCTTTTTTCTCTTAACAGTCAAGTATAATTTTTATATTTACTGTTCTAATGCTTTGATTTTGATTTGGATGAAACCTATGTTGATAAAAAGTTATATGTATAGATTTTGGTAAAAGATTAACTTATCGCCCAATATCTGGAGTCATTGCTCAGGTAAAAACCTTTTCAAATTCTTTTTTATTTAATAAAAACACTTAGTTTATCTTCTTAATGAGCTTAATTAATGACAGGCATATGGTTCAGCAAGAGTGAAGATGGGTAAAACTGAAGTCATACCTTTGACTTGTCATCTCAACTTGTTGACCATATCAAACATCACTGCTGGAAACAAGGAGCAGATTCAGGTCATAATTTGAAATTTTCATCAAGATTTAAACATCAAACATTATTTTCTTGACTGATATATCTACTTTATGATTTTTACAGACATTCATTGAAGCAAATGTCATTGGCCCTCTTATTCATCTGCTTCAAAATGAAGAATTTGACATCAAAAAGGAGGTTGCATCAGCTATCTCAAATGCTACTTCTGGTGGAAGCCATGACCAAATCAAGTGGGATTCATAAACTTAAATTTTCATTTTAATTTGTTTAGTATTTACATCTCAAAAGCTATATATTTATTGATAATAAATGGTGGATGCAGGTATTTGGTAAGTGAGGGATGTATTAAGCTTTTGTGTGATTTACTGATATGTCCAGACCCAAGAATATTGACAGTTTTGTTTAGTGGGGCTCGAGAATATATTAAAAGTTGGTGAAGAAGAAAAGAATTTGGGAAGATCAGGGGATGTGAATCTTTATGCACAGATGATTGATGATGGAGAAGGGTTGGAGAAGATTGAGAATTTACAGAGTCGTGATAACAGTGAGATTTATGAGAAAGCAGTGAAGCATCTTGAGACTTATTGGTTGGAGGAAGTGGATGATGCTATTCCACTTGGCGATGCAGTTGCAACTCAGCCTCCTGCTGGTTTCCATTTTGGATACCTTTGGAATGGAATGACTGATTTCGTCGGAATTGAAAAAACATCATGTTTGGTTTGAATTTCATTCCATGAGGGAGGGGTGTTTTTTTAATACATTGAAGGAAAGGAATGATAACGTTATACTTAAAAATTAGTTTTATTTGTATAATCTATTTTTCTTCAATAAGAAAAATCTTTTTATATTCTTTTCTTAAGTTTCAATCAAATCAATCTTTTTCCTAATTAACGTCAAAACAATTATTTAATTATGTTATGTTAAGATTTTATGGTATATAGTTTTTTTTTATAAACATTTAAGAGCTTTTTTATTTGCTATTTGAAATAACATATACAGTATATAATAAAATGGTTCATTCCATTGGAATGAAAAATAAGTTTTTTTTCTTGATGGAATGGAATTTGATCTTTTTTTATAGAAGGTAATGCTTTCCATTTTGTTAAGTTGGGGATGATTCTTTTATTCCATTAGTTTTTTAATATTTTTGAACTTTTTTTTTATCGATTTACAATATTATTTTCTGAAAATAACTAGATATTAATTCTATCTAGGTTGTAATCAGCTTTTGTTATGTTTGTACTTTGTTGATAGAGGTCTACATTAGGAAGACCAAGTTTTTCAACCCCTGACAAAGGAAACGTTTCTGTATACATCGATTGCAGTCCCACAGCAGCACCACAATACAATGTTCAAATGACCGTTTTACCCTCACAAAATCTTTCAAAAATGTTTTTGTATGGCAGGAGTTGGAATCAATCTTTCATCTTTGTCAATTGTGGATGGGAGAGTGTGTTGGGATTTATATATTGATGGTCTTGCGATAAATATAGATGGGAATATACTCAATGGCGTCCTCTCACTCGTAAACTCAAAACATTTGTTGTTATTATAAGTCCATATCTATGTGTTTAAATGCAAGAAATAGCAACCAACTTTAATTTATTTATTTATTATTTTGAAAATTATTCTTAATGCAGGCTTCTAGTTTTGGTTCAAATGGACGTTCTTCGATTGTTTCTTCATTCGAAACACCGTGTCCCCAAAACCCTTCAGGAAAGTCTAATCTTCCAGGGTAGATGTCTTTGTTTCCACAACAGATCTAGATAAAGAACCACCTAATGCCCAATTTCATACAGGTAATGGCCAATGGGATGAGTATTTTTTTCAACGTGAAGTTAAATCCCTTTCCATATACTAAAATTACGATAATGTCGTGTTTTTTAGGGCATGTACAAATTACGGCTGGAATATTGGAAAGAGTAAGATTTGTATTGCCAGCTCTACTTGGTCATGTCATTTGGTGAAGAAAACTTCTATTTTGGGGTCATCCACCCATCTTAGGTCTATGGGTGGTCAAACTTGTAGTCATTGCTTTGTTTGTTGCATTATCATTGGCCAACATTGTAAGTTTTTTTTACTCGAATATTCTTAGTCTGTTTTCAAATAATTTTTCAATTCACACCTCTCTAATATTTTTCAATTTTTCATCTTAATTACTTATAAGGTATTATGTACAAGGATTCAACCTGGTTGAGAACAACAAATAGTTCTGCTGCCTCGAGACTCATATCTTCAGGTATGATAAGCTTCTGATACAACTATTTATAAAAATTTGAGCTTATGTGGTAATATGTCAACAGTTAAAACATTTTTAAAATATCATTTCTTTTGCAGGGTTATTTTAATAATGTCTCAGAGTATCTCAGAATTAGTCCACCTCTATATTTTGTTGTGAAAAAATATAATTACAGATATACTTTTCTTTTCTTCTTAATGCACACTTCTGGTGAAGTTCATTTCAACTTGTAATGTAGACTAAAAGTTTTTTTTTTCACATTAATTTTTTCTGTTTTCTCAGTTCGATCAGAATCAAGACATACAAATCAGTTGTGCTCCATCAATCATTGTGATGCAAACTCCCTTTTGAATGAGGTATGAAAGTGTTGATTACTTGGGGAACCGTTTGGTTGGATTGAATGGAATTATGATGAAAGGGGTAACGGTATGAGTTGTTAATTCTGTTCTGAATACTAATGTGTTGATTATGAAAACAGGTATCATGTGGAAATAGAAGTATAACAATGAGAAGTAGAAACAAGGTGTCCCTTAGCAATGTAGTATTAGGTTATATAGTTAGGGAAAACCTCTTAATAACAATATACAATCAGATCCCCTTAATACTAATGTATTACAATTTTTTGACATGATGTTATTGGATGAAATTGATTGTTTTGATCTATATTTGTTTCCACGTTTTTGTCTTATACGTAAATAACTATCGTAAAGACGCGTCGCAAATGTATATCGTAAATGGTTGTTGAAGTTTATGACACGCAAATACGTGTCATCTTTATTTATGACAGAGGCTTTAATGATACACAATGCGTGTCGTCTTCCTTTACAACACGCAAATGCATGTCGTCTTCCTTTATGACAGAGCCTTCCTTGATACACATTGCGTATCGTAAATGCGCGTCGTAAATGAGCGTCGTAAATGCGCGTCGTCTATAGACGACGCGCAAAAGCGCGTCGTCTCTCTTTATGACAGGGCCTTCCTTGATGTGCGTTTGCGCGTCGTCTAAGCCTTTTACAACGCGCAATGAGCGTCGTAAAAGGCTGTTTTTCTAGTAGTGTTTGTTATACTGAAAACTTTGCACTTTGATATTTCTTTCCTTTCCCTTCAAACCAATGATTGATCATACTTACATCAGACTTTCCTTTGATGTATGAAACTTTGGTTGGTTTTGATATTGAAGGATTTGGAAAATTTGGTTGTTTTGGTGAAAATTTCACTTTTACTTGAGTTGACTTATTCAAACTTGATGAAGTATTCGTGAATTTGTCAACATTTGGAAACTTTTGATTATTTGCAAATTTTTGCGAATTCTCAAATTTTCGATTGTTGTCATATTTGCGAATATATGGAACTTTGTCAACATAATTTATTTGTTTATGAAAACTTGAAGTTGTTTGTGTGTTTTTATTTTGAAATTTTGATGATGTTTTTGAAATTTGTTCTTTTTCATCTTTTGATTTTTCTTTAGTCACAACTTGCCAGAATATTGCTTTTCTTGCTTGTCTTCTTGAAACATTATTTTCTGTTGAATAATTTCCAACCATCAATTTGAATTCTTGAGAATTTAGTTTCACTTCAACCTTTGAGTTTTCAGCTTTTTCAAAATTTTTGTTTGATTTTTCACCTTTAACCACCCATTTTTGTAATGATTTTTGTTTTTGAAACACATAAGAATTTTGGGTTAAATTGTTTTCTTCTGTGTTTTGATTTGCGAAAAAACCTTCAGTTGTGGACTTTTGATTATCTTTTTAAATCATTTTATTGAACTCAGGATGAACTTTCTTAGCATTTCCAGTGGTGACAAAGACTTGATTTGGAAAAATAATTTTATCAGTACATACAAAATTTGGATATACCACTGTATTGGTTTCCAAATAATGTGCGCCTTTATCATTTAAAACTTTGTCAAATTCTTTTGTATTTTCAAACACTTGATCAACCACAACCCTTTGATGTGTTTCAGTTGAATTTTTCTTTTCTTCTTTATTTTCATTAGTATCATCAGATTTCCAGCTTTCAACTTCCACATTATCAAACTTACAATGTTGCGAAGTTGAAGATTTATCAACTTCATCCTCTACTATTGAATCAACTATTATTTCTTTACCTTTGTTCTTAGATGTGATATTAATGATCGACAATTGAGAACAATCAATCTCTTCTTCTTCTTCTATCTCACTGATTTCACTCACATTATCAGAATTTTCATCAATATCAGCATAATTTAATTGTGAAGTAAGAGTTGAATTTTTGGTTTTCTTTAAGATTTTCACTTGTTCACTTTTTGTCAAACTTTCATTTACAATATCAACCAACTCATCAGCATTCAGAAATTCATCAATTTTGACAATACCATATGAATATCTATCATCAGGTATTTTGTCAAACTGAGCAATTGTACTTTCGCAATCATAAGAAACAACATCAACTTTTTCACGTTCATACTCAAGAAAAGGTAAAAGTTTCCTATGTTGTTCTTTGCTAATATCAGAAGAATGATGTAAAGCTGTTAATTTTGCATACAATCATTTTGCTGAATTACAATATATGTTTCTTTGTGCTAGCAACAACCTAACATCATTAGAAAGATTATTCCTATCACAATCTATATTTTTGACTTCCCATTTCCAATTTTTCAACTCTGCTCTTCTTTATTTCTAAATCTCTCCGTGTCTCACTAAGTTGCACATTTAATTTCTTAGCTTCATTACTAGCAGACACAATAACAGAATCAAAATAAGCCACATTATCATCAAATGAAACAATTTCAGCATCATAAGCAGATAATGGAATATTAAAAGATTCAAGAATTGCACATACCTTAGTTGTCATGGGTGACTTGTCAGTGGATTTAGACATAAAACATTGCCCTGAAATGTTCTCTTCGCAATCCTCAAAACTTGCGAACATTGCTCCATATGTGGGATGCCTCATTTCTTCGTCATCAGATCCTGAAGACCAGATCTGATAAGTTCCACTTTCTTCTTCATCAGATTCTCCCTTAGCAACTAAAGACATTCCTTTGTTCTTTGCACGTAATTCTTCAATCTTTTCGGAATAGTAAGCTTCATCTTTGACTTTTTCTTTCTTTTCTTCTTTCTTTCGCAACATGCAATCAGCTGCGAAATGATTCGCACCATTGCAATAGTGACAGTAAATTCCTGAATCACCCTTCAACTTTTTCTCTTCATTCGCACTTTTCTGTTTTTCATCTATTTTCTCTATTTTCTTCCTCTCCTCTCCTCCAGTTCTTGTGACATCATTTTTCACATCACTATTCTTTCCTTTTGGATTAAAAGGCTTTTTGAAAAACTTTTTAACTCTGTTGTTTGAATAATATGCTACTGCTTCATCATCGGAGTTCATCAAAAATCCTTCTACATTTGAACCATCTTTTTCATCAGTTTCTGATACTTTTGAAACAAGAGCCAAAGGACCACCAATAGCTTGTTTTGATTCTTCATACATTTTTGTGACCTCACAT